TTTTTTTTCTAGACACTTTAATCGTATTATACGATGATTGTAAAATATTACTTTCCGCTGTAAACTTTTCTATTAGGTACGTACGCTTCTTTACTTTATCAGAAATATCTTCTGAAATTGTACCAATAATATGCTGGTAGGTATATTTTATCTTCTTTTCGTGTTATTGTAGGACTATAACCAAACGTGTTTCGTTTGCAATTGTTAGAATTGCTGACTGTACTTTGTCATGGATTTATTTATTTTCTTATATATACATGATTATGTATAATGTTTTAAAAGAGGCATAATAATAGTCAGTTTATGTCTGAAAAGAAAATACTACAAGGGTAATCTAATACAGGGTTTGCCATTGGCCGCCATTGTTTGCGTCCAAACCGTCTTCTGGTTAGAAAGGTGTGGTATGTAAGTGAAATAATAGAATACGCAGGTATAATAGCAGAATTACTAGCAATGCCAACGTAAGAACTATTGCGTTATAATGTGTCAGCACCACAGCAAACATTAGACAAACGACGGCGACAAACATTAGACATTGAGAGAATATCAGAATTAAACATTCTGATATTCTCTATATAAATTCTCTATTATATACAGATAAACAGTCAATTAAAAAGATGTTTCTATTATAATTTGTAAAATAAATGAGTAAGGTTTATTGGTTAGGATTTAGCCACTTTATACCACGCTATATTTAACCGCTATTACCCTATCTTCAAGGCGTATAATACACCAACAGACCTTAATGTTTTTCAATGAACTTAGGTGTACAGTTTATCCGATCTCGCTTGAAATATCTTAACATTAAACTCTGTATACATACTTCAAAGACAAGCTATGAAGTAAGCGATCTAAGAGCAAGGTGAAAGCGGGTTGAGCGCCATTATAAAAGCAACTATAAAAACTATTCAATTGTTTCTTTACTATTTTAAAGTTATAAAGAACAGTATTTTGGCGAACACGGTTGGTTATGAACCGTCGAAGTTTGTGGGAATATTTTCTCACTGATAATGAAATCCTGAATAATTTAGGAATTACAGAGAAATACCTATAGTGAAAGGGGTTGGAGGAAGTTGTTCTAAAATAAAATGAATTATTTTGGTTGTTTCTTTCAGTTCATTATAATATCTAACTACGTTACCTTACCTTTTCTTTGCCCTTGTACTTACAATATTTTTGAGAAATAAATGTATTATTATTATTAATTCCATTACTCATTGTGATGATAGTATTAACACCATATTATATTATACATATAAAATGCTCGCCATTTCACAATAATAGTACCTACAACTTTAATAGCTGTCCCCTTCAGATGATCAAACATATGAGATTTTTCCGCTTATTTCGTAACTCCATATTACGCACGTAAATATAACGAGGTGAGAGAGCCCCCAGTCTCAGTTTATGAGTTTGTGTAGTACCTATAGCCCTTGTAAGTACGCACTTAGGGTGCGCAGTATTCATTATTATACGAAAAATATATGGTGTGACAAGGGCTTGTAATGAGTTTTTTATTATTTACTCCCCATTTTGTCAGTCATTATATTTATTATAGATTTATTATTACGAAATGTAATTTTCTATACTTTAAAAATGTAAGTAACCAATTTTCATTTAAATTATTTATTTGTGAAACTAGTGTGTACGGGTAACAAAGGTCTTATAATAAATAACATGATTCACTGTCTTCTGCAATTACATGTACCTACATAAATGTGATCTAATTACATTGTTTTTATATTATTGGAATATTACTTAATTAATTACCTAATATTCGTCATCCAGAAATTCATTCTAATGAATATATTATATTCTAATACATATAAATATTTTTTCACAGTTGATTTATAATGTCCCATATTAATGAGCTTTAGTCTATTCGCAATTTAGATAAATCCCATATTGTTGTATACGAGCTTTTAAATATAATGTACATAACATAAATTGACTATTCATGCTTGTCGGAAGAAAATATAAAAGCATTTAAACATCAAACGCATGCATGCATGCCTTGCAGCTGGGCTCACGTACTCTTGCAATGGAGTGAAGAGCGAGCGAATAAATCGATTACTTTGCAGTAAATATTTCATTTATTCAACGCCGTTCAGTTCATTCATTGATCGCGCAGTCTACTATGTAGCCAATATCAATGCAAGAGCACGAATACATATGAAACGTCACATTCCGATGTCGGTCGAACGGAATTGCAAATCAGGAATAAACTGACTACGCCCGGGGAAATTTCCAACAATCCTATCGTACTGGATCCCTTATATTATACAAGCTGTTTACCGTGACTTCGTCTGCTGAACTTTCATCTCCTATTTCACGGCCTTCCAATTTATTTTTGAGATAAAAGCCCATGTTATTATTTTTTTTGTATGTTATTGGATTAAAAAGTCATTTATTCCTGTAGGATATTTTAGTCACTTACATAAGATACTTATCTTGTTTTTTATATTAATACTAGCTGTCCCGGCAAACGTTGTTTAGCCATATAAATTTAGGTACTAATATATCTTTAAAAAAAATGAGGTTTGGTGGTAGAAGGATAAAAATTTAGGATTGTATGTATTTTTAATGCCACATAATAAAAAATTAAAATTTTGTCCTTATAATAAGTAAATATATATAAAAAGATCTATTATATTTCCTACCGTTCACTTTCATCCGTATATAGTTTCTATATATAGATATATATATTTATATTATATTTCTATATATATAGTCTGAGAAGAAATGGCTAGGAATTCAACTGATTTAATTTTTTTGTAACAGCGTATTTGAAAACTCTCTTTTCTTACTTATGTGTCTAACACATAATTTGCTATTTAATTCATCGTTTAATTAGTAGTGGGACTTGCTAGTGAATGTTTAAATAAGCGATTCTGTGCCGCTTGTGGTATCACTTATTTGCCATTCTAGAGGACTAAGATGTCAGACCCCTTATCCTGTAATTACACTACCGTATGTCACTCTTCAACAAGATCGTAAAAGCTGCTAAAATAAGGTAAGAGATTGAGGTATTCACGTAGAAGATTTTATTCGATATAGACGACAAATAAACAGACTGAAATATTTTCGAATTTATAATATTAGTATGAATAAATTTACTCAGAGTAAGCAGGTCCGCAGCCATATATATAATATTGCTGTCGAGGCAATGGGTTTGTAACTTAACGAGCAATTAGTTCAATAAATCGCCATGAATGGGGGCATTATCTAGACCACGTTAGCTTAGACAATTCAAGCGCTTGAAGCGATAAATGTTAGGCTGAATTTATGTGAGCAGTAGTGGTGATTCCAAAAATATATATATTTTCTTCGTTCCATTTAATAAAATAGTAAATTCTTAGTCTATCTTTTTGTATCTACATATTATGCTATCTACAATATCATTATAAATATTTTTTTATATATTTTTTGTAATTTTAGTATGCTGTGTTGTTTACTTTATATATCAATTATTATAAATGATTAAAATTTTAATATTAAATAAAATATATTATTCCCAAATTGTAACTGAAGACGTCGTGTCTTTTTGTTCAATTCGATTTGATCGGACTACCTTTGTGGTCGACATGTCGGACTAGTGTACTACTGATACAGTGACGTTTTTAAAAAGATAATATAATATTTAGGTACATAAAAATACGTTGAGGCGGCCTTATCGCTGAAAGCAATCAAGACCTATTTTTGTATCTACTAATTTATTTACGCTAACTGTGTTAGCAATTATTTTTAATCATGTGTCCATTCCATACATGTACAGCAGCTGCCATTTACATGCCATATAAGCGTTTTATGTGGCTCTCTGAACGCACTCGGTCACGTGTAGGTACTCAGCTGTCAAGTGTCAAATTATCCTCTCTCGAGCGAAGTCGCGTCGAATACTTGTTGCACATACACATACATGTTTTTAAAATTAAGGCGGATTGTTCGGTATGGTGCTTTATTCCGTGTTAATAATAACAGTATTTCGTTAAAGGTTGACTGTACTATAAATTATATATTTATCTACAAAAAGAACTGATTGTATGTGAATAAAAGTGTGAAATATGAATATCTGAAAATAAATTAGAATAGGAAAATGATCAGTCAAATTGAAAAACTGGTTGAGTGATCTAATAACGAACATAAATATACACTATATATACACTATAATAGAACATAACTAGAAAAAGTACAGCGGAATTAGGAAGGAATATTATGAATGAGGTAGAGTATATTAAAAGTTTGTATACACAAATATTAACTTCTAATTTGTTTATTGTATTGTTTGTACTACATACCTGTACATTGTGGTTCGTATAATAAACATTGCGTAGAGATGATTGATAATGATGCATTAACATGAATAATGTATCAGTGGTAAAGAGAACTATACTACCTACATAGTATACATTAATATATACAATTTTCATATATTTTTAAACTGTATATACAAGTACCGTATGGCTACGGTACCGCTGTCAAATCCTACAAAGGTCAGCAAAGGTGTGTCGTTTAATTAAACTAACAGCCATTAGTTTTGACTGTCACTATACATGTCCACCTTGTAGATACATATGTGATCCCTCCGCAAGTATTTCGAATTTAATGTTAATTCATTAATGCTTGGATGACCTTATGCGGTTTCGGACAGTTTCGGTTGAAAATGATTTAGGTTAGCCAAAACCATGGCTGAAACAGAAATTATGATATACAATCATAATTTGATTAACAGAAATTATGATTGTATTTAAGAATTATATAAATTTGATAATTTGGATACTTATATAAATTTCATTTGAAAAAAAAAAATCCAGTCGTAATAAATTTCGTAAGGATTAATTTTTTTTAAATTCTTCTTTAAATTGTAATTATAGAAGATGTCGACTTCGATAGTTAGCTATTTATATAAAACTTCTATTTATCGCTTGTGGTACAGTATAGTTAGAAGTAGGTATGATTTTGTCTATAACATATACATAACTAATTATGTTTATTTTTTACAGAAAACAACCAAAGACGTTCGCATTCGACCATTGTTTCTTCTCCCTGGAACCATCTGCACCAAACTTCGCCTCGCAAAAGACAGTCTTCGAATGTCTCGGCAGGGATATATTGGACAATGCCTTCGACGGATACAACGCGTGTATATTTGCATACGGACAGACAGGTTAGTGAATTTATAATGTTTAATGTGATACGCATTTCGATGCATTCAGACTAAAATTTCATATTCGCGTCAAGTTACGAAGGTTCCTTGCGCGCAGACGGTAAGAATGTTGTTGCACCTGTGTGCGACCTTGTTCTTTCAATTGTTTTTTTAAATGTTCGGTCATGCACCCACCTTTGCTAACGGTATGCGCTGGAGTGTCGCCACTGGAGAATAATAGGATGAGTATGAAGTCAGCTGTGTTACCCCATTACGGTGAATTTACAATGAATTAAGAAGGCCGACTTGACATAGCACATTGCTAGCAAATTGTAAAGCACCTCTCCCCACCTCCCAAAATAAATTAATTACATAGTCTTCAGAGGTGATCCATCTACATTTTAATATCTCGCTTTCGAAGTGTAGGTATGACAGTATCGTACCTATACTTTGAAATAGTAATAGGTTATCTATACTCTATATAGACACTCAATTATATCATAATATTTCATTAATAAGCAAGACGTAAAGTTTTATATCTATAACGAGGGTAGTTCCTCTACTTGGGATACCTCGTCATCAGAACCCATGTTGGGCATGGTGTAGTCAAGAAATAATAGTCTGAATTTAAAGTATAATTGTCTATTAACTCACTCCCGATAACAAAATAATAAATTTAACAACGATCAGCCAGATGCAAACGGATTAGTCAGGGAAACGCGGCAAGTTCGGTACAGAGTGAAGAACAACCTCTCGCGCTCGCCCCCAATTCAAAAGTGCCGTTTCGTAATTGCCGTTGAAACTGCTTTACCCTGTACCGACCTCACCCAAGCAAACCGCTTGACGTTTCCAACAACGATAATAGATGGCGCTATTCTAGTAGAAACTAATCAATTGAGCCTCTTTGTTGATTCTGCGACACGGCCATCTTGACATTTCACACGTCCTCGTGTGAAGCATCTGAAACAAGAATTCACGGAAAGTAAAACGTCCTTTGCTCGGCCTCCCTGACCGACATGTAATGATGATGAAAACAAAGTCACACAATTTTATTTTGATTCACACAGTCTCTCTAAATCTTATAAAGGGAATCTCAATATCGCAAATAATCACCACAGTTTGATAATTTCACATAAGGTTCATAATCATAATCAATATTCAGAAAAAATCGTGAAACATTCCAACCAAATCCAGTATGCAATGCTCTGTTAGGTACCAAGTCTCTGTAACACAATGCCTCCATCTGGCAATTCAACGGGACCTCCATCCGGTACCCCAACACAACACATTGCGATCACAACACAATCACATTGCCTCCATCCGGCAATTCAACGGGACCTCCATCCGGTACCCGATCACAACACAACACATTGCCTCCATCCGGTACCCGATCACAACACATCACATTGCCTCCATCCGGCAACTCAACGGGACCTCCATCCGGTACCCGATCACAACACACTACACCTACTTGGCACCCCAGCAGTTACTTACATCACCATGCCGACACTGGCCACCAACCTTAAGTAAACACTTAGGCTCGCAGCCACGAACAACATCGAAATGCACGCAATCCGAGTCACTTGCATACTGCATTTGCTTCTTCCCATTCCTCACATAAGGTCACCTTCATTGTCAGCCGGTCCTGTCTCGTCAGTCGGTCTTGTCTCGTCAGTTTTGCTACAGTCATGGTCAGAGTCAGTGTCAGAGTCCTTGTCGTCAAAATTATCACTATCAGGCATTTTTCGAAGACGGTCGTGCGCATACTTATACGTCCGATTCGAATTGAGAGCTTTGAGTACATACCGGTCTCCTTCCAGTAACTCTACAACTTTAAAAGGCCCTTTGTATTTAGGATCGAGCTTTGTCTGATTTCGTTCTTCATTTTGCAGCAGTACAAAGTCACCAATAGTAAATGGTTGTAATTTAGCTTTGGTAGAATCAAAACGTACCTTATCATAAGCTGAGCCGTTCTCCATATTCTCCACAGCCTGTGACCTTACCTGCTCGATATCGACTACGTGGTCGTCATCCAATACTGATAGGACATCTAAAGGCCTCGCAACCCTCCCAATGAGAAGTTCTAAGGGGCTGGCTTGTGTGACTCGATTCATCGTGCAGTTGAGAGCCAGCTGCACGTCAGGCAAAGCATCTTGCCACGAGCGACTACTTGTTTCTATTGCGGTAAGCATATTTTTCAATGTGCTCATGACGCGCTCCACCTGGCCGTTGGCCCTCGAACTACCTGTCGCTATTAGGTGAAGCTTAATGTTAACAGACTCGCAATAGTCCTTGAAGTCTTTGCTGGAGAAGCACCTACCTTGGTCGGCGATTACACGGTTGGGCGCACCAAATAGTGAAACACTAGATTTCAAAGCCCTAATACTACTAGCTGTGTCAATGTTTAGCGTATGGTGAAGTAATACGTACTTGGTGAAGGCATCTACAAGCACAAACACATACTCCTTCCTGTCATCCTTGCCGCTTAGTTTTCCCGTAGCGTCAATATGTACGGTGTGCCAAGGTATAGCTACCTTAGGAATGGGGTGCATTTTTGCCTGTACTTTGCCAGAATGTGACTTAGAAATTTTGCACGTAGCACAGCTGTCTACAAACTTTCGTACAAACCTCGTCATTTTGTCAAACCAGTAAAGTTCGTAAACCTTTTCTAAGGTTTTTTCCCATCCCAAATGCAGCAAGCCTTCGTGTACATTGTTTATAATAGACCACCGAAACGTCCTTGGAATTATTGGAAGGCACAGAGTCTTACCACGTCGTTGAATTTTACGATGCAAAACGCCTGATCGAAGCTCATAGGTCTTAGCTACATCAGGAGGAAGTTTTCCGTCCTTCAAGTCGGATAAGAGCTTCGAAAGCTCCCCATCTTTCTGTTGTTCTGCAATCAACCAGTTGTCGTTCAGTTCGGCTAAATTAATTTGTTTACAGCTTACCTTCTCGAAAGGAGCGCTCTCTCCGTCATCTGGTAATGGATTCCTTGAAAAGAAATCTGCATGAGACATTCGCTTACCACTACGATGAACAACGTCGAAGTCAAAGGCTTGCAAGAAGGCCCACCATCTGTGAACACGTGGCGTTAGGTCTGTTTTCTTACGAGTCGACTGCAACGAACTGCAATCTGTGACCACGTCAAATTTGCGACCATGCAGATAATGTCGGAAATGCTTAACTGCGTTGACTACAGCGAGGGTCTCCAATTCGTATGAGTGATACTTAGACTCTGCAGCTGTTGTGCGCTTACTAAAATAAGCAACAGCATGTGTCTTACCTTCTTTTAACTGGACAAGAACGGCTCCATATCCAATCGCACTCGCATCCGTATGCAACTCTGTCTTTAGTACTGGATCATAAATTGATAACACTGGCTGACTAGTTAGAATAGAAATTACCTGTTGTCTTATGGTCTCATACTCGGGTTTCCATTCGATCCGGCCATTACCGGAGGTCAAAGTATACAGCGGGGCCATAACTTGAGAAAACTTTGCTATGAACTGACGAAAGTATGAGGCTAAACCAATAAATTGGCGCAATTGCGTCACCGTCTGGGGTGGTGGTAATAAAGTCAAACAACTCACCTTGCGAGGATTAGGTCGTATCTGCCCTTGACTGACTTCAAATCCGAGGTACTCCACTTTCTGTTTTAGGAAGGCACATTTCTTATGATTAAGCGAGAATCCCTTATCTGAAAGGACCCCAAGAACTATCTGAAGTCGCTCAAGAGCCTCGGCAACGTTTTCTGCGACAATGAGCACATCGTCCATGTAGACTACAACATAAGTATTCACCAAATCCCCAAGCGCATGAATGAGAGCTCGCTGGAACACCGAGGGAGCGTTTCGAAGTCCGAACGGCATGGTCAAATATTCAAATTGCCCGTCGGGCGTCACAAAAGCTGTTCGTTCTATAGATTCATTTGAAATGCGGATTTGGTGAAATCCTGACGCCAAGTCTAAAATGGTGAAGAAATGGCCTCCACGCAACCTGGCTATTTGGTCAGAGATAAGCGGTAATGGGAATCGATCAGGTACCGTATTGTCATTCAGTTCGCGGTAGTCCACACACATTCTATCCGTGCCATCCTTCTTTTTAACGAGAAGAATAGGACTCGCAAACGGTGATGAACTACAGCGAATTATATTGGCCTTAAGCAATTCATCGATTTTGCTACGTACAACCTGTCGTTCCTCGGGGCTCAACCTATAGGGACGTCGATTAACAGTCTTATGGGAGTCTATAAGGCGAATTTGCATGGGTTCAGTATCTGCAGGAGATGTAGGTACACCGGAAATAAAACAATTTTTGAAAGATAGCAAAATATCCAATAATTCAGATTTTCTTTCAAGAGGAACGTCAGTGTCTATCGTGTCAAAGTCTTTATAGTCAACTACCAGGTCACATGTCTGAACTGTCCGTATTTTCTCAAATCGTATCTTATCTGATGATATATGAACTATTAGACCAATTGATAATACCTCACGTCCAATCATAATTCCATATCGCAAACAAATGTCAGGTAAAACGTGTAAAAGAATTTCAAAAATAATTCCGTCAATCTCAACAGTAGTCAAAATTTGTACAGTCGACCTAATAGAAGTCTGTCCAATACCAGTCAATGTCACATTTTCATAAATTCGTTTACCACTAAATTTACAGGACATAGATTCTTTAACAAGCGAACACTCAGCACCAGAGTCATAATAAAAATAAAATTGCTCACCAGAATGCCATAAGGATCCAGTAGGTGCCTCCACAAGACACACATCAACTCGCTTCTCCTTGGCGGGATCAACCGTGGTGCTCCTCTTAGGACAGTTGGAGGCGTAGTGTCCTTGTTCGCGACAATTGAAGCAGGTGATCCAATCGGCTCTCCCTGGTGTCTGGTTACTTCTGCCGCTGCTAGACGCCGTCGTCCTCGATTGCTCTTCATGTGCCTTTGGGTCTCTTCTCGAGCGACATTGCGCCAATCTGTGTCCTGGTTTCCCACAGTTGAAACACTTGGGCAC